TAAATACTTAACAAACATGAAGAGAAACAAACATATACCTAAATTTACAAGTATTGAAAACATGTAAAATTCACAAATATGGTAAACATAAAAAATAAATGCACAAGTATACATATACAAGTCTAACTACACGTTACAAACAATCTGAACATTATGTACAAAACTCAAAAACAAATAAACTATCACAATGAGATCCAATATTAAACACCAATACCCGACAACATAGCTATTTTGTTAAAGCGGTAAAGCAGAAAGAAAATTTAAGTATTTATTTAGTTTTATCATATCGTCTCCACAGAGATTAGTGCTACTGAATTACCGCTCGATAATTTTTTGCATTTATGAGTTTGGGTTTGAATGGATTGGTTTGTATAGAAAGGAAAAACTATTAACAGGAAAACAAATACGTTCTTCAAAGAGGAGAAACTTATCCGGAATGCATTTACACTACTCGTCACAAACTTAAACTTATCGATCAGTTGCATTAAACCTACAATACTCATCAAAATCATCAAGCATCTCTCAAAATGTTCCATAACAGAGGTTATGTCTAATGAAAAGTTAGAGACAACCGTATTACTTGCATTGGCGATCTCTCAGCCAAACACAAACAACACATATACATTAAGCTCTGATATCCACAATAATTATTAGCTTTAAATCTATCTCTAGAATCTAGAAACTAATAGATATCAATTCCTAATTAAGATTTGTAAGATATATGTCTATAACAACCCAAACCCAAACATAAAGCAAAAAGATCAAGGAATACATCAAGATTCATTTGTAAAGCAAGCTTTATACAATACCATGATAAATACATATGCATATGTTTAAAGTAAATCTACAAACAAAACCCAACAAAATAGAGTTTACATAAAGAGGAAAAAGAGATAAACCAACACTTCTCGAGTTGTCAATATGATTGGTGAGAATCCACCTCCGATTCAAAAAGATGCAACCCCAATTGATGTTTTCTAAGCTCTCTCTACCAAAAAATGGGTTTGGGACTCAAAAGCACCCAACCCATACCTAAAAAATGTGTTTTTGGCCCTTAAAATATGTTTTTGTCCAGAATATCTTGCCCGACACTCAAAACGGCTCGCCTGACATTCGAAAATGCATTTTTCACTCTTCTAGTCGCCTCTGGATCGCCCGGTGAGCTCGGGGCGAGCCTGACAGTAAATTGAAAAATCCAGCACTGTTTCGACCATAACTTGAGAACCGTAACTCTGATTTACGCACGGTATGAAGCGTTGGAAAACTTATTCAATGTTCTATCTAAAAATGACAAATATCAACCAAATTGATGATTTTTCTCATCTTATTTTTGAGATTTATTCTTTGATGAATTGCTAAAAATTGCATTCTTGAAGCTTAGCCTTTGGTCTTTATTACTCAATGCTCCAATTATGAATGAATACCTACAAAAGAGATGAAAAACTATCAAATGATATAATATTTACACAAAAACTAAAATATTCTATTATATACACAAACTAAACGTATTTACAAACAAAATTGGGATTAAGTAAACCATATTAACAAAAAGTATCGGTAAGTGCAACAAAACTTATACACAAAAATAACTACAATTTGCACTTATCAGTTTTACAGTCACAAACCCTAATTTATAATTTTTGGCAACACAACTCTTGTTTCGTCATAAACTCTAGTGCAACACATTCATACTACAAAAAATGTAATGATCGATATTCAACTCAAATGATCTAAATGTCATTGCTTCACCATACAAACGTCGAATTATAAAGCAAAATAAGCATTGAAAATTCATATGAAACATAATCATTACATTAATCCAATCAATGAAATAAAAAGAATATCAAATATAATTATTTTGCATGAGAGTTATTCATATCTTATATGAATCTATCAATCAAATTTGTATCAATTATGAACGATCGAAGTATCGCTGCTTCACCTTACAAACATAGAATTTCAAAGCATGGCCAACAACGATCAATCCAAATTATACAAACATGATACCAATATTTAATTTATCTTGTTATTTAATTCATTATGTGTTTTAATATAATTAATACACTAATTATAGAAAATAAACAGCTATCCATACATGGTTTAACGTAAGTGGATTTGATGCGACTAAAGGGAAATTACGATACAATGTGCACCAGAAAACAAAAATTCCATTTATTTGATCCTTACGAATGAGCATGATCAGTGATAGAAACATTATCTCTTGTGGAAATTAAAACCTTTGATGCAGAATCAGATGAATGATCACAAACGGTGAATGAAGAACAATGCCATTTCCCAGTCCACACGAACAAAGTGCCTTTAATCTTAGTTTTAGCTGCTACAAATGAAAACTTTGAGAGAACGAGAGTTTAAACAAAATTTGCATCAAGTGAAAAAGTTTTTGCACAAGGGTTCTATTTATAAACCACTTGTATGGCTAACAAGCTGAAATCCACTTAAGTTATTGTACCTTATGGTGTACTATATTTCACTTAATCCCATTGTGTCTTACCGTATTATGTATTTAACTTAAGTGCATTATATCTTACGATGTTCCATATTTTTCTTAAGTACATCGTACCTTACAATATTCCTTATTTATTCCATCTCTCATCAATATGTCCTTATATGTTTGATCCTGTAGGTTCTTATAACGTTGTGAATTATATTAAATCACATATTTTATATAATAAGCAATAAGCGGTATCTAGAAATACATCACTACTACCCAAGTCACGAAAATATCACGTGATTTGACGAAGACCTAATCATGATAATGCTTGTGTGTACAATTATCCTTTTTCCCTCATGTCTATATTAAACACAAGGCATAGGCCATGTCACCCTTATCCAACTCATTATTGGATCATTAAACATTTCTTTTGTTATGTAGGATAGGAAAATCTCATCTAGGTCACTCATGTCCTTCAACATGATTTGTAGAATACTCATCATATGTCTTTTTGGTCCTCTAGCTACGGAGAATATTTGATCAACAATAAAGTACTTGATTCCACATCTAGAGTCCATACTGGTTTCAGGTTGAAGGGTGGTATACACCACTATCACCATGAGAATAACTTAGTTCTTAGTTTCCCCTAAATCAATCATTCATTAGCCTTAGCTTTACAAAGAGATAATAGATTACAGTAGGTTGACATTGGTCTCTGTGGATTCGACAATCTTTTATATTACTTTGATATTTTCGTGCACTTGCGAACACATCACTATTGACACATAGGGCTTACACCAACAATCTCCCACTAGCATTAGAGCCAATCAGGCATACACCTGATACCCAAAAATCTAGTAAATATAGTCAGTCATACATTTTTTCTGGTGTGATTTACAAGTGAGGAGAGCCCTCTATTTATAGGAGGGAAATACGGATAAAAAATGAAAACCATATATGTGCCTTTTAATTCTCATAATCTATTAAAAACAAGTTTAATCATCAAGGCATACTAAGATAACGTCAAATAGTACCATCAACACCCGATAATAGCTAGACAGTTCCCAAAATTCACGCCATCAACATTCTAAACAGCGTGTCACCATTGTGATGCTTCATTCCCCTCACACGCGGCTGGGTGCGATGATGGCCTACCCGTTAGCGCTCTAAAGGGCTTGACTCCCTGGGCGTCACCAAGCTAGCGCTTGTAACCAATCTGTGATCTACATAATCGCAATTTCTGCACAGAGTGCGATTTTGCACTTCAATCCATATTTTAGTCGCACAAAACCAACCAAAACCTACAGTGCCTTACCATTTTCTATATTCAACTTAAGTGCATTATATCTTACGATATTCCATAATTCTCTTAAGTACATCGTACCTTACAGTGTTCCTTATTTATTCCATCTCTCATCAATATGTGCTTATGTGTTTGACCCTGTAGGTTCTTCTGACGTTGGAAATTATATTAAATCACATATTTTATATAATAAGCATTGAGCGGTATCTAACAACACATCACTGCTACCCAAATCACGAAAATACCACGTGATTTAACAAAGACCTTATCATGATAATGCTTGTGTGTATATTTACTCTTTTCCCCTCATGTCTATATTAAACGCAAGGCATAAACCATGTCACCCTTATCCAATTCATTATTGGACCTTTAGACATTTCTTTTGTTATGTAGGATAGGGAAATCTCATTTAGGTCACTCATGTCCTTCAACATGATTTGTGGAATACCCATCAACTGTCTTTATGGTCCTCTAACTACTGACAACATTTGATCAACAATAAAGTACTCGATTCCACATCTAGAGTCCATACTGTTTTTAGGTCAAAGAGTGGTATACACCACTATCACGATGAGAATAACTTAAGACACTTTCCATAACATTCTATGTAGTATTCTCATAGAGGGTCAATCTAGTATGAATATTAATCCTAACACTGATACCTATATGGAGACTTGGTAACTCTTTATTCATGATCCATGAGATGCGATCATCAACCTATCCATATAATAGTATATATGCTTTAATATTATCCCACTTCACAATAAAGTTCGACTATAAATACTTTAACAGTAGTGTCCTTATGTTTAATGAGATCTAATGATTAAGTCACACTTAATATTTCATTAACAGACTAGCTATTGTAAGGACTTCATTATTTTAGAAAAACAAACATGATAGATAAATAAATGCCTTTTAATTATTAATAAATAATTCGATACAAATACCAAGTTCTAATAAAACTATTGGCCCATAGGGCTTACACCAACAATCTCCCACTAGCATTAGAGCTAATCAAGTATACACCTGATACCCATAAATCTAGTAAATACAATGAGTCATATATTTTTTCTGGTGTGATTTACAAGTAAGGAGAGCTCTCTATTTATAGGAGAGAAATCTGGCTAAAAAATGAAAACCATATATGTGCTTTTTAATTCTCATAATCGATTATGCATATCACCTAATTGATTAATACCATCATTGGAGAGATTTATTGATTAAGATCATAAGAGATTTGAGCGAATGTCACTTTACAGTAGGTGTTATCCTTAAGAGATTGACTTTGATATGTTGATCTCATAAACATAACAACTTATTCATTACTGTAGATGAAGATTTGATCTCATAAAAATTGAGTGGATAATCTTAATTAAGTATACAAATAAAAAAATTGAAAATGAATTAGGAGATTTTTAGAAATTAATTAGTTAAAGTTAAATTAGATAATTAGTGTAGCAAAAAATAAATTATATATATAGATGCATATTGAAGAGGAAAAATTAGAAGCGGTTTGGGCAAAGCAATAGTTTTAGTCCCACATAGGCTGGTTTGTTATTTTTTGCTGTGTTTATATACAAGAGATACTCACTCATAGCTTGTCCCTTCGGGGACATCCGATAAAATTGAGAAATGGTCCCTGCGCAAGGCCCCTGCGCAAGGATGACACGCACAAATCGAGAAATGGTCCAAATTTTTTTGCGATTTTTTCCCTCGTTCAGGTTTTGTTGTTCTGCACTTCGCTTTCGATTATTACGTTCCTTTTTGTTTAGGTTTTGTTCCTTTTCCATTATTACTACGTTCCTTTTCTCTTTCATTTTGAATTTAGGGTTTTCTTTTCCTTTATCATGAAGATTTTGAACAATGAACAATGCAGGTTGTGTCCATCATGAAGATTTTGAACAATGCAGGTTGTGTCCATCATGAAGATTTTGAACAATGCAGGCAGGTGCTGGTGTTATGTTGAATTAAATTCTTGTTCTGATTTGGTTATTATACAAACTCTTATTCTATCATTCTTATGCATACTTTCTTTTCACTCTACTCTAATGTCTAATCAAATGCGCTTTCAATTCAATTCTGTGTTATAGAAAACATCAAATTCACCATATACATATCATAACATAGCTTTCAATTCTATTTAATTCTGTGTTACATGCAAATTCACCATATACATATCATAACATAGCTTTCAATTCAATTTAATTCTGTGTTAGATGCAAATTCACCATATACATAGCTTTCAATTCAATTTAATTCTGTGATACATCAAACAATAGTAGATTGCCAATTTGTGTTTCTATCTCTTTCATTTCACCCTTTTTCCCAGGACAACATTTACAACATGCCTACCAATTAATTCAAAGTCAAATGAGATGCCTAGCTAGCTTAAACTTAATGCTTTGATTTTTTACGGATACGCGTTACACATGTCACATGTTTTCCTCATTTTGATAATACGGTTCAGTGCCGACATATATAGCTAGCTACTAAAAGTTCTGCTGTTGTGTGAATTCTAGCGTAGATGGATAATGCTCAAGTGGATTGGATACAAATCATCATAATTGTTGTAGGGAGGCAACATGGAACTTTCATCCAAGGCTTGGTCAGCACTCAAAATATATCACTAGTACATGTTTGAACCCACAAGCAGCAGACATACCGCATATATTTTAAGTTCAGCAGTCAGTCATAAGTATTTCAAGTTCTCAACTTCCACGAGTTTCTAACTTTTAGGAGCTTTACGATTCTGATGACTATTTGATTCTTAGTTAACCAAATATTGCGGCGTGCTTTCGGGCATCAACTTCGACAACAAGTCCGGACATATGAAGAGCACGAGAAGTCTTTGTGATTATGGTCTCCACCACCTTCTTTAACCATCACTAGATAAATGCAACATATTATGTGATCAATTATTGGTATGTTTTTAAATTTTATTTCTACTGACTTGCTTCCAAAATTCTATCATGTGTCAATCAAGTTGAAAACCTTTGCAGGTTAACGAAAGTTTTTTCCTTTGAAGAGTTTTTGTTTTCAGTTTTGTTGTATCATGTATGGCGTGATACATGGCTTGTGTTTGTGCATGTAATGAAAGTGTTTAAGATGACACAATAAACAACATATGAATTGAATTCACAAGAATATAGTTTGATGGTATTCTCATTTCAGATTTCAATTTAAAAGAAAACATAACAAAATTCCTCAGGTACAAAAACTGTCTCAACTAGTCAGTCCTACACTATTCTATGTTATCAGACAAATATGACCTTTTTATTCACCATGAATTAATTATAGGCCGTTTAAGCGAGATGTTGTATGTAAGAAGACTTCTTCCTTGCAGGGAATCGTAAGACCGCCCATTGGATGATAGTAACCAAATTCCTCTTCAGATTGACTAAGCAATTCTTGAAATAAAGGCTCGTTTAAGAATGATATTGGAATCAAGAACCTCCTCGCTTTCTCTCCAACATACACTGCAAGATAGCCTTTTGGAACTTCCACTTCTTTGCTAGATGATTGGCTTGCACTGAATGATGATCGTCTAATACCAGGTAAACGAAAACCCATTCTTGTTTTTGTTTCTTGACAATAGAATGATCTCAAAGAAGTAGTAGAAGAAAGAAGTGAACTTGATTTCTGATGCTTCAAAGTATGAATGGTTTGTGTTACTTGTAAACTCACTAATGAATATATATATATAGAAAACCAATTGTATGGTGAATGAGTTATTGAATGTGGTTTAGTGGGAGCCATGGCTCATTAATGGTCACATGGCACTGTCTTGAAGGCTTTCGTAGAGGACTGTACGAAATGTGAGATTACATGCCCCACCTTTTGGAAAATTAGCCTATGAAAGAGACTTGAGATATCTAACTGAATATATTTTCAGACAAGTTCTAAACACATCAAATATCTTGTTCTTTTTTTTTTAAGACAAGTGATATCTACCAGTAATTTAAATCCAATCAATTAACAATGAAATCTTCTTCAAAAATTATGCAAATTTATAGGGATAACATGAGGGATCACCACATGGTATTGTCTTGGACGGTCAGGTTATAGCTTGCTGCTTGCCCCACCTTCTGAATAGGCAACCCATTAGATAGGCAACCCAATTAAAAGTCAAAAATGAGATGGCTATGTTAAACTTAATGCTTTGATTTATTATGGATACTCTTATTTTTGTAGACGCGCATTAGACATGTCACATGTTTTCTTCATATTGGTAACACGGCTCAGTGCTGACATATAGCTAGCTACAAAAAAGGTCTGATGTTGTGTGAATTCTAATATAGATAGATATTGCATAGTTGGATGCAAATCATCATAAATGTAGGGAGGTAACTCGGAACTTTCATCAAAGGCTTGTTCAGCAGTCAAAATTTATCAGTAGACATGTTTAAAACTCCAAGTAGCAGACATACTGGATATATTTATGTTAAACAGTCATAGGTGTCGCCAAACTATCTTTTAAGTGTCAAACTAGTCAAACTTCTCCATTTAAAATTGATAAACACACATAAGTTTGGATGAGTTTCTAGCTTTAAACACCTGTGTCAGACTTATCAATCCCGGATAGCGGAGCTTCACGTTATAGGATAACAACTATGACCTCAATCCATATGAAGAGTGTGGGTAGTTCACGTGATTATGGTCACCACCACCTTCTTCAATTATTTGTATATTCTTCTTGTCTTCATTTCATTTCAATGCTAATGACTTGCTTCAAAACTCTAATAGTTGATAAGCTATCTTATAGCTAAGCATCCAATTTTTACATATTCCTTATGCTTCTGATACTTACTGCTGCTTTTGAAGTATCCGACTATTTCAAGTGCTCAACTTAAATGAGTTTCTAACTTTAAGGAGCTTTACGTTTGAGATGACTATTTGATTCTTAGTTAACCAAAAAACCTTTAAATGGTATTAAATTAAATGACTTCTATGTTCTTAATATGTTACTAATTCAAGAACAAAAAGAAAAACAAAATCTTTAAAAAAGACAAAAATTCAATCAAAATGAATGTTGGGTTTGTCAATGGAAGACTTTTCATTATTGGATCAAAAAGTGGTAAGCCCTGGTTTTACCAAAAGTATATTTTTAATTTGAGTATACTAAATGCAAGGAGGTTGTGATAGTCTTTTGATTAACAAAATACATAATATACACTTTTATGAGTAGTGGAGGGCTGCTAGGAATTTAGAGTAGGGATGTCAACAGGACAGAGAATGTGCGGAGGATGCTTTCCCGCTTCCCATTATTTTCCTCATCCCCATCCCCGGTCCCCGCTACAGGGGATTATTTTTCTCCATCCCTATTCCCGCAGATCCCCACAGAGAATCGGAGATTGAATCTTAAAAAAATTTCTGTACTTTTTGATTAAAACTATGACACTACTATTTCGTGATTTTTTACTTTTTTTAAACTTATATTTTGTATCTTTCTTTTTTTTTTTTATAAAAAAAATAAAACACATGTTACATTAATAACAAAAAAATACAAAAGCACTTGTTGTTACAAAAACATAACCACTAAAACATGTTACTAATTGAAGTATAGTGAAGTTGATGAGTAATTACCTCATGAACAATGAACGAAGGATAATGGTTGTTGTGATGATGATGAGAACATAGAAAATGAGGAATGGAGGAGACAAAGAGAATTAAGAAGAGAAGCATAGGAGATTGTGTGTACACTACATATAATGAGTGCACATTTTAGGGTTGGATACCTGGATAGTGAAACAATACGTTACTCAATGAAACAAAAAATAAAATGATTTATTGACGACTTTTTATTTCCAAATATCTATAAAAGTTAAATAATATGGTCAAGGTCGGGGAATCCGTGGGGTGGAGGGTACTTCCCTGATCTCCTCCCTGAAGTGTCATCAGAGGAACTTTTTCCTCCATCCCCGTCTCGACGGGGAAAAATCTTCGATTTTAGAGCTCCGTACAGATAATTTCCACGTAGATCCCCGTTAACAAATGCAAGTTAACATCCCTAATTTAGAGTAAAGGGTTGCCATTCATTGCGTGCTTTCGGACTACAACTTCGAAAACAGGTCCATGTGAAGAGCACAAGAAGTCTTTGTGGTTATGTCTTCACCACCTTCTTCAAGCATGACTAGAAAAATACAACATATTATGTGAACCGTTGATATTTATAAATATATAATGTTAAGAATATTTGTATGTAGAATAGTCCCACATCGATTATATAGTGTAATTAGTTGTAATCTCTCTCTATATAACAAAGTCTCTGTAGTGCTTTCATAACACACGGTTTAACCTAAATGTCTCTTAGCCTCTCCTAATTCAATATGGTATCTAGAGCCTTCTAAGAGGCAATTCTTCGCCGTACTTTACCCGGTTGACCCACTGTCTTCCGGTGAGAAATTTTCTTCTGCAAACCGTGTCATCATTCGAATTTTTTTTTCCTTTCTTCGGAGGACTACTGTTCACCGCCGATGTCACTGTTCACCGCCGCCACACTGTTCACCGCCGCCGCTACTGTTCACGATTTTTTTTCTCTCTCGGAAAACCGCCTTCCTCCTCCGGTTCCAGATACGCCCTCGGTTTTCATTTTCGACTCACAAAAAGTCGTACTCTTGTTCAAACAGTCCCGGTTGCTGTGTTTTAAGTCATGGGAGATGCTGATTCTATCTCGTTTACTAAAGTTCCGCTTATCCCATGTGAAAAACTAACCGGATCAGCCAACTATAACATATGGGCTCTTGCATCTCTTGGCAACAATCAAAATCGCCTTCGAGGATGGTCATCCAACTCCAAACCTCGTCCTAAGTGTGACCATTGTAACCGGCTTGGACATACTATCGATCATTGCTGGAAGTTGCATGGCAAACCTCCACGGCAGGTAAATGCAACTCAAATTGATAACCCAGACACTATGCAGACTTCACCTTCTCTTCAGAATCCTACGCCAAGCTACGAGGATTTTCTCAGGTGGTGTCAGACTAACCAGACCTCTGGTTCCACGGCTTCGATTGCACACACTGGTAATTCATCTGTTTGCGTCTCTCAATCATCTCCTCTTGGTCCTTGGGTCCTCGACTCTGGTGCGTCTGATCATATTACCGGTAATAAAAATCTTTTCTCTTCCCTTTCTACCTCTGGTTTCTTACCGAGTATAATTGCCGCAAATGGTTCTCAAACCCGATCCCAAGGGATCGGTACTGTTCAAATTCTACCATTTCTCTTTGTTACTTCTGTCCTATATGTACCTAATTGCCCATTTAATCTACTGTCAGTCAGCCGTTTAACTCGTTCCCTTAATTGTTCTATCACTTTTACTAACAGTGATGTTATTCTGCAGGATCGAAGTTCGGGACAGACGATTGGCGTCGGATGTGAGTCTCAAGGCCTCTACTACTTCTCTACGTCATCTACCACATGCTCCAGCACAGATTCTCCACTCATTATACATGCGCAGTTAGGTCATCCAAGTCTTCCCAAGCTACAAAAGTTGGTGTCCGGTTTATCTAAATTATCCACTTTACAGTGTGAGTCTTGTCAATTAGCGAAACATACTCGTAGTCACTTTCATGATCGAGTCAATAAACGGGCTGCGTCTCCTTTTGCTTTAGTTCACTCCGATGTTTGGGGTCCATCGTGTACTGTGTCTACTTTTGAGTCTAGGTATTTTGTAACATTTATGGATGATTTTTCACGTTGCACGTGACTATTTTTAATGAAAAACAAATCTGAATTATTTTCTATTTTTGAACAATTTTATCGAGAAATAAGAACCCAATTTGGTTTGTCCATTCGTACCTTAAGAAGTGACTATGCACGTGAATATTTATCCCAACAATTTCAAACTTTTATGTC